GGGTATAGAGGGTAGAGGATTGCTGTCGATAACTTTCCCCAACAGGCAAATAAGATTAATGAAAGTAGAAATTTGCCTCACTGGCACAAAAGTGCAGATGAATTTTCACATTTGTATTACGTAATACAAAATGAAACAAAAACAAAAAACCCAACCCTCTCCATTGACTATGAAAGCTAAAAAACAGATGTTGCATTTTTGAAACACACTATAGCGCCATTGCATCTTCTTTTCAACATTATGTGTATACTGAATTCGTGCTTTACAGCCACTAGTTCTTGATTCTAAAACATTGAAAAATTGTTAAAATTCATATGTGAAAATAAGTGCAGAGCGCTTCGCAAGTGCACGCACGTCTTTCGAAAATAGTTCCCTTCCCTGGGTTATTTTTTTCCATGAGGGTTGAGTCGATTGACTCACCGGCGTGGCAAAATAAGCTAGTCGAGAATGTGGGATTTGCCTCCCTTTCACCCTTGGCTCTCTGTCAGTCGATTGTCGACCTCTTTCCTCGTTCGATGCGGTATGACTCTACATGAGCCTTGTGTAGCTACAGCGCTTTTCCTACGAGGGGCCCTGTTTTATAACGGGAACAGCCGAAAGAGAATTTTGACGCTCTGGTTGATCTAAACTGAAAATATCGTTGTATAAACCACATTTAGGTGGGCAAACTTGAACAAACCATCAACCAAATTTTGTTGAACAAGTTTTGAAGGTAATGAAACAGTAAACTGCGCTAAGCGCCCCCTCTGCGCCTTTGAAAAAAAAAGAAAGCAAGGGGAAAAAAGAACGCTCGATAACATCTGCGAGCTGTGGCCTTCGTATGACGTCAGTGTGGAAACCTTTCTGTCAGACCTTTCGCCGTTCCGTGTTACTCCCGCCTAAGAAAGAAAATTGGTTTAACAGTAATATAAAAGGTTTTTGGGTTTCATTTCTGTGTAAGGTGTTACTAAATACTTTCCCCCTCTAATTCTAAGAATATTTGAAGGACAAAATAGTTACTCTTTTTCGACATTTCGAAAATAACAGCAGATAAAGTTGCAAAGCGAGGCAACTTCCGCCGACGCAGGAGGTTTTTGTAAGGGTTGATTACAGGAGATGGATGAAAAGAATGCTCGTGACGCTTTACGACTCTGAAAATGTAAACCTCCGCTGAGTCAAGGGACAGAGAAAAGAATTCCCAAGTACTGTTAAGCGGATGCTGTGTGCCAAAACAACACCGATTGAGTGCAACCTTTCTGTAGAAGCGTGACAAACCGAAAGTAATAAGCAGAACTTGTTTGCTAAATGATAGACTCTTGACCCTTTCACTTACACGCCATTGCGTATGAATTTAAAACTGACTGTCGAAAACCTGTGATATTCCCGCTTATTGAAGTGTACAATATTCTGTGTATGATAAGACCATGCTGCCTAGCGCTTAACTTTTTTTCTTATTTGTTTTTGTTGTTATCCTGCAGTTGGCATCGGCGTGGAACCACGTGCGACATACTATCAAGGAATAAGAAGGATCTGACAGGTCAACAGGAGACAACAGTGTGCCGTCGGTCGAGGACTCCTCTCGTTCGACATAAGGAAGAAGAGTGATACCATTTTATCATAGATTGTTCATCAACAATAGTTTTCATCAGGCCAACTGTAGCACCCCAGAAAGCCAGATGATCGTCTTGTGATTGTTCCATCATATTTGGTGAGTACTGTTTGAATAATACTCTCATCTGATGACTGAAGAATCAGCCGTCACACTTCATTTTCAGTGAACTAGTGCCACCCAGATTCGTCCAGCAAGGCAAAGATGTCTACTGGTGACTGGTCTGAACGATCACGTCGGAACTCAAGTCACCGCCTCTCTCATTTACAAGGCAACGATTTGCCTTTCTAAATGTGCCATTTGGATACCCGAGAGGAATATGACTCGACAAAGTACTAAGTTTTTAGTTCTTCAATTTCCAGACCATTAGATCCAATATTTTGATCCAGATCTGGCTTCCAGGCAAGGAGTACGAGCTACTTGTCTTCTATGTCAGACTAGGCTTCACGTTGTAGTGTTGGCCCCCATTGGCTTTGGAGATGCAGATGGGAAGACACTGAATAAGAAGATACAACAATGGGCTTACCCAACAATGATCACTGTCTTGCATTTGAGACTAGCTAGAGATAGATCTAGATCTAGATCTAGATCTAATCTAGATTTAGCACTCATTGTATTGTTGACTCAGTTATCCTGTCAGTGCCTGGCTAGCTCCTTTTTCCTTGCAGTTCAGTCCAGGGCCAGGGGGTCTGAAACTCTTTGTCTCAGGCTATAAACACTATGCCTAGGTCTATAGGAGGCTAAATATTAGCCTAGGCTACCTGTATTGCAGCTGTACTAATACTACTGTCATTAGGATGTGGGGCACTAAGGCTTTCTTACACTTACAGTTAATAGTGTAAATGTGTAATTATGATTTGACAGAAATCTAGACATGGCGCATTAGTATAGAATCTAGATCTAGATTCTAGTGGACTCTCGCCTTTATGATCATTTAATCTTTTCCCTTCTCCTGTCCTAAACAGAACAAAAACTGTTGAGGAGGCTCCTCCCCCC